ACGTGAAGCGACGTCCGTTTGTGATGACGCCGCACAGCTGATCGTCTGACAGCAGCTCTGTCCCCGTTATTTCCACACACCCCCGCCTCTGTTAGCACACATTTACTGACTCTAACATTTGTATCATCTGTTGTAGACCCCAATAAATAAAATCAAATAAGAACTAATTCTCAAAAAAAGATAAACGCCATTCTTAAAATGTATAAACGAACAATAGTTAGATTAATATTGATTAGAGTGCACAATAGAAATAAAATAATTGAGAGAAGAAAAAGAGATATATTATCTATCAAAACCCAGTTAGATTAACATTCATTGCACACTTTGTGTGTTTGTGTGGATATGTAGCACATTAACATTTAAATAGCACTTAATGACTGAATGGAAATGACAATAAATGAAAATGTAAAACGAAAAAAAGCGATCATGAAAATGTTTACAATAAATGAATAAAATGATTTTTGACCACTTTGTTGTTCAGATATTTCACATATTTGTAAATAAATGAAACATGAATTGAAACAAAACACGGTATAAACTGAGGAGTGAGTCCCGTGAGGTTCATGTGTTTTCTTCACTCCGCTGGGAAACTGCTCTCATGTCAAGAAGCATCAGATCAGTGCATGCACTGCATCGTCCAATCAGTGAGCGATACACAGTAAGGGGGCAGGGCGAGTGTCTGAGGATTTCATCGGAGGATGGTCTGGTGGTTCCTCGGTTATCGCTCCTCCATTATCGCTCCTCGCTCCTCGATCCTCCGGCAGAAATAAGAGCCATGGGACGGTACTCAAGATGGCGCAGGCAAATCAATCACGTGATCTTCAAATTTCTCCCTGCATGGCCGAACTTCGTTTTATTCTCCGTGGAAAATGCCTATTTTAAAGTTAGTTTGGTCATTAAAATGCGTTTTGATGTCATTTGATGCGAGAAATATGAGTTGTTATTTCAGATGATGTGTGCATGATCTTTAGTTTGCGAGTTATTACGAAGATTACTTCAGGAAATTGCGTCCATAGAACGTTTTCATTGTTACCAAGGTGGTTGCTAGGGACGCTGCTATCGATACTATTTCTGTTATAAACAGAGGAAAAATCAACAAATAAAAGTCTAGCATGAGATCCATGTCCCTCCAAGTGTTTAAAAAGTAAGTCAGATAAGGTGACCGTGGCATCCTCCACTCCTCTGTGGCCTGTAAGCAAACTGCATGGGATCGAGTGCATGCTCAGTCTTCCTTAACATTTCTGCTCCGACTAGTTTTTCCAATGTCTTCATTAGAATTGATGTCAGTGCAACTGGTCTAAAATCGTTAAGAGTTTTGGGGCCTCCGGATTTGGGGACAGGGACTACCACAGCATCCTTCCAAACCTTTGGCACATGCTGTGTCTGTAAAGACACATTTAAAAATGTAGTAAACACAGGGCTAAGTTATTTTGCGCAAAGTTCAAGTAAACGACCGCAGATGTTGTCAGGTCCATGACTCTTATTTATTTTTACTAAACGAAAGGCCTTTTCCACTTCCCTCTGATCTATGTTCAAATGCTTATTGTCTTCAAGTTTGAGCTTCAGTTCAGATATATTATTACTGAAATCAAATGTGTCGAATCGAGAAAAAAAGTGATTGAGGGCATTTGCAAACTCAACATCTGAATTAAAGCCACCCAGAGTCACATGGCAGCTATTCTTTGCTTCCCGGAGGCCTGTTGTGGTTTTCATGCTACTCCAGACTGAGCCAAGGTTGTTTGCAGCCATTTTGTTTTGTAGTTCAGATTTAAAATTCTGTTTAGCTTTCAGAATTTCTATTTTAAGTTCCCTATTAGCATCATGCAGATCAGAGGCACTTCCCTGTTTCAAAGCTTGGTTCTTTTTCTGAATGCTGGACTTAACCGCCTTGGTCACCCATGGTTTGTTATTAGGGTATATTTTAACTTGCTTACACGGAATAATCATGTCTTTACAAAAGGCTGTATATGAGCATGTTACATCAACAACTTCATCCAAGTCGGCACCACAAGACTCTTTGAACACATCCCAATCAGTCCAGTCATAACATTCCTGCAAACAGGCTACAGATTCTTCTGTCCAGACATTTATGTCCTTCGTCAATGTTTTCTCTCGCTTCAAAACTGTTTTGTATATGGGCAGTAGATGCACACAGTTATGATCAGCAGAGCCCAGTGGGGGTAATGGGACTGACTTATGCCCCTTTCACACCAACGTGCTTTCAGGCTCCGGCTCGGAGCTGGAGCCTGAAAAGTGCCGTTTTTTCCTGTTCACACCGCAGAGGCGCCGCCTCTTAGCTCCGGAATCCGGTTCACTTCCAGCTCCAAAAAATGGTCGGTTTAGAGGCAAGAGCTCTTACGTCGAGGCGGGGGCAGGTAGATGCTGAAGACCACAAAGAAGTCTTGCATTTCGCATGTGATGTTTGTAAAGTTCCAAGTAAAGTCGTCCGATGCCTTCCATGTCGTTTCGTAAGAGGATAACCAAAGCGAACAGCGCTTCAATACAATCGGCCATTGTTGTTGTTGTCGATGTGAGGGATATCCGCGCGGTTTGGATTTTATGAAGCAGGCACGTAAACGGTGACGTCATGACGCAGCAGCGGCAGCCTTGGGCGGTGTGAACAGAGCGGGAGCAGAAAAGCTCCCGCTCGGAGCTAGAAAGGGAAAGCGCTGGTGTGAAAGCCGCACTAGAGGCTTCCTTTACTGACCCATAACACAGGTCTAATGTTTTATCCCGCCTGGTTGGACAGGAGACATATTGATACAAGTTAGTGAGTGTCTTTTTAAGGGTCACATGGTTAAAATCCCCAAGTATAAAGTTAAACAACCTCTCCCCTCCCCTCCCTTCTGTTTTCTGGTCATCTCTGAGATCTTACACATGTCGTATTTGTGAGTTTATAAAAGCAATTATGCAAATTAAATCCATTATAAAGAGAGGAAGAAGAGATGTGACTCCTTGACTTCTTCCCCACTGTGTCTGTCGTCCAATTTATTTCCCGCTAATCCGTTAATCTCCTCTTCACGTCCTCACTCTACCTTTCAACATTTTATTTATTATTTATTCATCTGCAGCCGTTCACAGAGAGTCTTAAACCACATCACATGCTTCAGAGGTCAGGAAATAACAGGGGCAGTAGAAGTACTCAGGTCTTGTACTTGAGTAAAAGGAGAAGTACTCAGGTCTTGTAGTTGAGTAAAAGTAGAAGTACTCAGGTCTTATACTTGAGTAAAAGGAGAAGTACTCAGGTCTTGTACTTGAGTAAAAGTAGAAGTACTCAGGTCTTATACTTGAGTAAAAGGAGAAGTACTCAGGTCTTGTACTTGAGTAAAAGTAGAAGTACTCAGGTCTTGTACTTGAGTAAAAGCAGAAGTACTCAGGTCTTGTACTTGAGTAAAAGGAGAAGTAGTCAGAGCTTGTACTTCAGTAAAAGTAGAAGTACTCAGATCATGTATACTTGAGTAAAGTAGAAGTACTCAGGTCTTGTACTTGAGTAAAAGGAGAAGTAGGCTACTCAGGTCTTGTACTTCAGTAAAAGTAGAAGTACTCAGGTCTTGTACTTGAGTAAAAGGAGAAGTACTCAGGTCTTGTACTTGAGTAAAAGTAGAAGTACTCAGATCATGTATACTTGAGTAAAAGTAGAAGTACTCAGGTCTTGTACTTGAGTAAAAGGAGAAGTAGGCTACTCAGGTCTTGTACTTCAGTAAAAGTAGAAGTACTCAGGTCTTGTACTTGAGTAAAAGTAGAAGTACTCAGGTCTTGTACTTGAGTAAAAGTAGAAGTACTCAGGTCTTGTACTTGAGTAAAAGGAGAAGTACTCAGAGCTTGTACTTCAGTAAAAGTAGAAGTACTCAGATCGTGTATACTTGAGTAAAAGTAGAAGTACTCAGGTCTTGTACTTGAGTAAAAGGAGAAGTACTCAGGTCTTGTACTTGAGTAAAAGGAGAAGTACTCAGGTATTGTACTTGAGTAAAAGGAGAAGTACTCAGGTCTTGTACTTGAGTAAAAGGAGAAGTACTCAGGTCTTGTACTTGAGTAAAAGGAGAAGTACTCAGGTCTTGTACTTGAGTAAAAGGAGAAGTACTCAGGTCTTGTACTTGAGTAAAAGGAGAAGTACTCAGGTCTTGTACTTGAGTAAAAGTAGAAGTACTCAGGTCTTGTACTTGAGTAAAAGTAGAAGTACTCAGGTATTGTACTTGAGTAAAAGGAGAAGTACTCAGGTCTTGTACTTGAGTAAAAGGAGAAGTACTCAGGTCTTGTACTTGAGTAAAAGGAGAAGTACTCAGGTCTTGTACTTGAGTAAAAGGAGAAGTACTCAGAGCTTGTACTTGAGTAAAAGTAGAAGTACTCAGATATTGTACTTGAGTAAAAGTAAAAGTACTCAGATATTGTACTTGAGTAAAAGTAAAAGTACTCAGATCTTGTACTTGAGTAAGAGTAGAAGTACTCAGATCGTGTACTTGAGTAAAAGTAGAAGTACTCAGATCTTGTACTTGAGTAAAAGTAGAAGTACTCAGATCTTGTACTTGAGTAAAAGTAAAAGTACTCAGATTGTGTACTTGAGTAAAAGTAAAAGTACTCAGATATTGTACTTGAGTAAAAGTAAAAGTACTCAGATCTTGTACTTGAGTAAAAGTAGAAGTACTCAGATCTTGTACTTGAGTAAAAGTAAAAGTACTCAGATTGTGTACTTGAGTAAAAGTAAAAGTACTCAGATATTGTACTTGAGTAAAAGTAAAAGTACTCAGATCTTGTACTTGAGTAAAAGTAGAAGTACTCAGATCTTGTACTTGAGTAAAAGTAGAAGTACGCCTCCAAATATGAACCACAGACTGTATATTTCCTCATTGCTGTCCGTCTGATGTGTTCCCCCCCCCCCCCCCCCCCCCCCCAGTGTCCAGCCTGAGTGTGGCACTAATAACCCCTCATACTCAGCGACCACCGCACTACAGCAGAAACTCCCTCTCAGCTCCTCTCTGCTCAGCAGCTGCTCGGTACTCTCTGTGATCGAACCGCTATTCACCGGATCACTAAGAGCTGTCGGAGCCATGCAGCTCCTCTGCAGCGTATGCACGGTTCACCTGCTGCTCTTCTGCCTCCCAGGTGAGAACATCTTCAGCCTCTTGTTTATTGTATTTTCACATTCAAAAAGATTGGGTTCATAGGATAGTAAAAAACAGATTAAAAAAAGAAATGTGGAGTTTAACATTTTCTTTTAAACCCCAAAGCTTTGGTATCATTTCATCGGCAGCTAATATTATTAACAAAAAATACAAATACTGCTACTACAACTACAAATCATAATAGTTTTGCTTCAGAAATGTGTTTTCATGTGTTTTACTAAAGTTGTACTCTGTATTTTAAATTATGCTTCAACTGTTGTTCAATTAGTGAAAAACGGAAGAAAGAAACGTCCAGCATGATGCCTTCACATGTCCATATATGTTCTGCTTGTATGCATATCTAGTTCTTGAAATGACATTGCCCATACTTTCATCACAAAAGTAGTTCTTATTTTTGCCGAGGGGAGGCGGGCTTTTATTGTGAAGGAATAAGTTATATTAGGATAATGGCTCTTTGGAGGAACCACAAAAAGACCCTTTGTTTAACAATGACTCACTCATATCTTCAATTATTTGAAGATAACTGTTTTGATGACGGCTGTGGCTCAAAGGCATAGCGCGTTCATCTTCAGATCAGGGGAGCACTGGTTCGATCCCCACTGCAGTCAGCATGTCGTTGGGCAAGACTCCTGCCCACTGTATTGAGTGTATGTAAGGCAATTAGGATTAACAAGTGACATGTAATGATTTAAAGTATATCTGTTTACAAACTCTTAGACAACTCTGGCTGAATAATCCAACTGTTATGTATCCAGTCGATGATCTTCTGTCAGCGCTGCCCCTGGCCAACTTGTGCTCGTAAGATGAGGCACACTCTGCGTGTAGCGAGGGGCGGCCCTGTCTTCTGTAACGTTTGTCTTTGACCAGGCGATATGTCCATGTCTATTTGCTGTGGTTCAGGCTTGGAAAGAAGTTTGTTACATTCATAGTGTGACTGATTGTGTGCGCACTCTCTCACACAAAGTTAACCCCTCCCCCATTTCAGAAGGCAATGACAATTTGGTGTTAACCTCTATATAAAGAGCAGCATGCCTCACATTAACTCCATCGTAAACCTAACATCATAATTATTAGATAGCAACAGACCGTTAAGGTGGGATGGGGTCGATAGGTCAAACACCAGCTGCGTCTGTGCCCTACAGTGAATGACTGACGCTGCATCAGTTACGCCTTTTTAGCTTCTTTGACCCAAACCATGTTTTTTCTGAGGAGTATTTTAAGTCGTTTGGCGACTGTGGCTGCGAGGGCGTGCGGTCGCCTTCAAACCAGAAGGTTGTCGGTTCGATCCCAGCATGTGCAGTCAACATGTTGATGTGACCTTGAAGATATGGAACTGTTGTGTGTGTGTGTGTGTGTGTGTGTGTGTGTGTGTGTGTGTGTGTGTGTGTGTGTTTCTCCAATTCAGGAACCTCTGAGCTGACCAGCCTCTCAGTTGATACAAACATAAGTTTAAAAAATGTAAAAGGAAACAATACCGAAAAATATATATACATTTATATAATATTTAATGACCGTCCTAGAGAGTGTATATCAGCTTGCTGTGTGTGTGTGTGTGTGTGTGTGTGTGTGTGTATGTGTGTGGACTTCAAGACAACGAGAGTGAATGCTGAGCAGTGATGAGAGTTTGATGTGAGGATTAAAGCCGCCCGTCCAGATGAGAGGAGTGACCACCAGAGATAAACCCAGCTGCAAACACGCCGCAAAGATGATATCATAATATCATTTAGTAGAAATTGTGCACAGAAGAAACCATGTCCAAAATATAGAAATGTGCAAAACCCATTAGTACTTCTTCTACTGCTAATACATGAACACCACATTTTACATACACATTTATTTCATTCTGACCATATAACAGGCTATCTGTTTTATCAATAATGTACACTGGACTTTTGAATGTATTGCATTTGACAGGTCTTTGTTGTGGCCCTAACTCTCTTGTTATCACCACTTTGCACCAGTCTCCCACAGTATCATAGTTTATCCTCTGCACCGTTTTTAAAGGTAAGACTCTCATTGTTTACTTGTGTCATTTTCTTTTACATTTTTTTAGAAGAGGTTTCATGAAAATCGGGCCAACAGGTTTTCCGTAATTCTTGGAAGTCGTTCTTCGGACTTTGGTGTGTTCATGAGCTTCGAGACACAATGTGGAAAGAACACATAGATATCTGTTTCAGGGTTTCAGATCCACCTTGTGATGGTTTTAATGTCGCATTTTCCACACAACATTAGTAAAATAATGTGTATCAGCTCCAGAATTTGGACTTGTTACAACGTTTAATGGCTGTTTCCTTGGCCCAAGCTTTACCCTTCCACCAAGTCTGATGCCATTGGGCCAGTAGCCGTAATTAGTTGATGTTAGGACCAAAAACAACAACCTTGTGCACGTGAGAAAACTGTAAATAAACAAGACCCAATCTTAGTCCAGACTTAGTCGTTACTATGAGCAAGGCAGTGAAGATGATGATGAATATGTGCTGCATTATGTGTGTGTGTGTGTGTGTGTGGGTGTGTGTGTGTGTGTGTGTGTGCCAGCTGGCATGCTTTCAGACCCGTTAGCCCTCACACTTCAGCTCCTCTGAGAGTTGACGCTGAGTCAAAGTGCTGAGTCATGAGCTCGCCGGACCGTGAAGACATTTGGACAATGAACGGAGACAATGAGAGGCGGAGCTGCAGGTTCGTTTACACTAAGACTTCCGGGTCGTAATGATCCCCACCTGGCAGGGAAGTCGTCAATTAGATGGGCCAATATAGGCCTGTTTCAATGGATCCGTACCGATGAAAGAAAAGGACCAAAAGCAGATCTCTTCCACCTCGCTGCTCTCCTTAAAAACATAACTAGAAAGTTAGTCGATATTACTGAAATTACTATTCTCGATACAATTTGATATCATCGTAAAAAACTAAGAGAAAACATAAATCATTCCTGTGTACTCAAACATACAGTCTATTGTTACTGCATTTTGGTCTTAGTTAGAACGTTTGAGAGGTCATAAATCCATCTCTACACCTGTTTTATATTGAAGCTCAAACTGTTTTTATTCAAGTTTCTCTGTCAAGTTAGGAGAGTCAAATAACGACAACATACTATCATATAGCATATGGGTTACTCCTCTACTTTGGATCCTATAGTTGAAATGGTCTGTCTCAGTCAGTAGGGGCTTGGACTGTGAGCCGTAGGGTCGCTGGTTCAAGTCCCTGAACAGACTTAAAAAAGATGGAGTGTGGACTGCTACTTGGAGAGGTCCCAGTTCACCTCCTGGTCCCTGCCGTGGAGCCAGACGCCTCCTTTTTATCAAAGCTTCTTCCAATAAGTGAATTACACCATACACACACACACACACACACACACACACACACACACACACACACACACACACACACACACACACACACACACACACACACACACACACACACACACACACACACACACACACACACACACACACACACACACACACACACACACACACACACACACACACACACTTCAAAACATGGTTCACTGAGAACTGCACCTGCACACACTAGTCTGTGTTGAGTATGGCGTGAGTGTTACATGTTGTGTTACATGTTGTGTTACATATTGTGTTACATGTTGTGTTACATGTTGTGTTACATGTTGTGTTACATATTGTGTTACATATTGTGTTACATGTTGTGTTACATGTTGTGATCATGGACGTTGCCCCTGGTTTCTGTGATGTGATTGTGAGGTGCTCAATGTGACATGTGCTGTATGTAGTAACGTGTGTTGTTTATTGTTCTCTTGTATCCTCACACCGGTATCTACTTGTCTTTCCTCCTTTTTATTTTATATATTTTCTTATAACTAATGCTGTTGATATGTTAATGTGATTTTAAGGGTGTCTATTACCATCTGGCCGTGTCGGCTAAAGCTGCACCATTTACTGTTTTAGTGACAGTTCATCGATGGGGACCGTCCACGACACTATACATAAACTAAACTAAACATTTCATAGTTTATATTCTAAAATGCATTCATAGCATTCACATTCCTAGTATGTGCGAACCTACCTGGCAAAAAACCTGCTTCTGATTCTGAGAAGATAAACATGTATAGAGACGTTCGGTTTAAGCTACATCTTTGTTCGCTTGCACAGGTCGCATGAAAACAAGAAGTCGTCCCAACAAATTCACAATTTGCTCCTGAGTTTAATGAAACCAAAATGAGCGGCTTCAATATAATGACTGAGCCTTTTTAATAAGAAACGACATATTAGTGTTTTAAAGAAATCTGTCTTTAGTAAATAACGATACTTTTGGACTGACACGTTGTTGGGTTAATGGGAAATAATAGAAAAGGGTTACTGCTAAAAAAAAAAAAAAAGAGTAGAGAATGTATATCAAGTCAATTAGAGGTAAATAATACTCACTCCAATGTCCAATAGAAAAGCAATAAGGTAAGATGAATGCAGTTAAACAAGTACGCTTGAATAGTAAAGCAATATTGGCTTGAAAAGTATTATTGCGCCTGATATTTAAAAGATAATATTGTACCAGGGTTTTGTCTGCATCGGGTAACAGGAGCGCTGTGCCCGGTACGTCCACACAGCAGCTTTAAACAACGCTTCCAACGCTTCTCTGCCCGTTGACTTTGAATGGGGATGACGTCACTTTGCCTCGCTTTTCGCCGAACTGCATTGTGGGGGAGCGAAGCGAAGATTTCCAGGATTTCCAGGATGTTCAGGATTCAAAAGTTGAGCAATGTTTAACTTTTGAAGCTGAGCTGGAAGCGTCAGCCAATCAAATCCTGTTTATGCAAATCTGACAGTAGAAACGCGAGCCAATCAAACCACGTGTAAGCAGGGAGAGCCAGACCGCAGTTCATTTCCTCATATTCCAAACGAGAAATTACGGTAGTAAATCACCCGGTTCTTTACGACCAGAACTATTAACGGGATACAAACCGGAGGAACCGGGAGGTGGCAGAGACAGTGGGTGAAACTGGTAGGTTTTCGCCTGTTTGGGGAGTTTATATATATATATTTATATATTGCTCGCATAAAATCCCCGGGGTTTTTTGCTTTGTATGTCGGGGGCGGGAGATTCATGTGATTGGTTGTTGGTCGCGTTGCTCGCAAAAAATCCCCAAGCTTTCAGACACGCCCAGCTCCTAGATTTTCAAGATTTTTGAAAAGCTGCTGTGTGGACGTACCTTACTCTCAGCGTGCGCCCTCAAACCAAAATGCAGATCTTTCCCGTAAAACATTCAAGTGATGCCAGAAAACAATATTTCTGTTCCTCAAAAACTTTATAATGACTCCAGAAATCTGAGTGTCAAACAGAGACAGCTTTGTTTTACAGAGAATAATTATGGGATGGATGTCTGAGAGTTTATTTTCCTTTTCTCTGTAGAGGAAGTAAAGAAACCGTAACTCTGGATTTATGTGTTGTTTGAGGTGCGATACGTGACTCAGCAGCTTGAAGACATGAACACACTATTATTTTCCACTTCGAGAGACTTCGACCGTCGTTATCGCTTTTCTCATAATGACATATCCTGGTCTCCATATCTGTCTGACTGATTCAGAGCTTTACTCCCACATTTCCATATTTGCACAGGATGTTAACACTGTGTGCCTACAGTCATAAAGGAGTTCAGTAATATATCACAGTGCAGTCATCTGAAGGTCTTTCTCCTGACAGTGGTCTTGTGTGCTTCCTTTTTTGTGCAAGGCATGCTGGTAACCCTCTGTGCTTACTTGTATCTGTCAAGTCTCCTCCTGCAGGGTGGAATCTCTCTGTCCTTGGTGTTGGAGGTTCACAAACAGCGTTACGATAACGAGTATTTATACATGATCATTTGACTTATTCAGTGGTTCCAAAACTCTAGGTTTGGGGCCCAAGATGATTCTGCTGGGCCTTCAGTGCTCATGAGATCATTTAAAAGATGATTAAAACATAGGCAGTGGAGAGGTGGGGGTCTTGTCTTAGCTGCAGTCTGTCTGCAGCTAAAGAACATCAATGCTGATGCAGTCAACTTTAAAAACATAAACGAGACCATGATTTCTTTCCTCAAATTAATTGTATTTGTTGCGTGAACCTTCATTTTGACGTCTTGGGTTAAATTGATGTTTATCACATACTTATAAGAAATCAAACTTACTTCGAAACTGTTTTTTTAACACATTTTAGATTCAAATCAGATGTTTCCTGGCACTGCTACATAACGGCTTGATACTATCTGGGTGACAGATGAACATTAGTACTTCTCAATGGTCTATCTGGAGCCCCTTAGCTGTCAGGACCACAGGAGACCGTCTTCTGAGTTCATTTCCTCGATAACAGCAAAAATAAAACAACAATTAGAAACTCCTCAAAGTTTAAAGCTGAACACCTCGTAAGACTGAACACTAACTCGCTTGTCACCCAACAAAAACACTGCGATAACTTAATTGTGAATATATTATACTTCTGAATCATTTCCAGGTAAAAACCTTATATTTCTACATGTTATCTGAAATCTCTTGTATATTGCTCGTAGGGCTGAAATAAAGTGCATTCCTCATAACACTGCATGTTGAATGCCTTGCTTAACAAATGACCCCCCAGAGTGCAGCATCCTCAGACCAACACACTGAAGCAACAGAAAGATATTTCTCTCTGACCTTCGAGCAAGTTTCTTTGGCTGCTAGAGTTCAGCCTGTCTACGGGAGACTGACTGCAGCTGACAGGGACGTCTGTGTCGTTAACATATCTTTATAAACTATTTACACAGCTCAAGTGTCGTCGGCTGTTCAAGACGTTTCTTTACTTATATGCTCACAGGACTGAAGACGGTTCTGCCTCCATCAACCTGATGGATCAGTCTTCAGTTGTATCTGCTTTGATTTACAGCATGGAGTACATCTGATATGATTGATTCTAAAACATATGCCCTTCACCTCTCACAGCATCACTCTTGTTCATTACCTTATGGACACCCTAATGTGTGTTTACACTATTAGGGTTTTATTGGAGAGTGGTTGAGGTCTGTGTGACACCTGCTGCCATCTGTACACGCTCATGATCCTTGTAGTCAGTGGCCATCATCATGTCTTATGGTTGCATTGCATTCTGGTACCTTTCAGCTAACCTAACTCTATTGATTTAGATGTATTCAGTGCTCTAGTTTAGGTGCAGTCCAAGGCTGAATCAAAGAGATGTGTTGTTGTTTTTGGGTACCTGGAGACAGGGCTCTGACAGCTGAAGACTACGTTTAATGCAAACCTATTGCATCGTCTTTAAATATCGTGTGGGAAGGCATGGAAAAGTGAAAAGCTAGAAAATCTAGCACCTTCAAAAGGTCTGACTCATATGTGTTATTTACTGACACAGAAGAGAGGATTGAACAGACCCACTAGCATGATTTATTTCCACCTCCATCATCAGGAATGATCTCTCTGCTGTTCCACAGACACGTTCTTATTAATCTGAGAACCTGCAGGTTAATTGAAGTGGGAAATGTGGTTTCCATGTGTGTTATGAAGTGTGTACTCAGAGCGTCGCTGTGGGACGGACTGAGCTGCAGGAGATATGAGACATTTCAGGATTAAACAAAGCAGCAGAGAAAAGCTCTTTCTACACACGGTCAACCTTTTAACCTTCAAAATACTATTACAAATAATTAGGTGAACATTCATTTCAAGATGTACAACAAAGTTTGGATAGTCAAAGTAGAGCCATGGTATAAAGATGTTGATGATTTAAACGTAATTATTACATAGATGCTGTGTAAGCTTTAGGGCAGGGCCACTTTGTGATTGACAGGTTGCTTCCACATCTTACAACTTGAAGCCTTTCCCAGTTTCGCTTTATGAAAGTTAATTGTTTCATTCTGGCCCTGAGATATAGTGCTTTCGAGCAGTTGTGCTAATCTCCACCTTTGGCGATAAACAAAATGTAAAATCAGATGCTTCAAAACCATAATTCACAAACGAATGCGTGACCTCACGGTGACTCCGTCTGTGGTCCTGCGGCTTGGTTCAAAGAGTTCTTATTTAAGTACACACTTGGGTTAATGAGGATGTCATGCTCTCTGTCTTTCTATTACCCAGTGTGCTTTGCTGCTCATGGTCGCTATGCTCAGAAGCTGATGACTGACTTGTTCTCCAACTACACCAGCGCCTTGCGTCCGGTGGAGGACACCGACCACATCATCAACGTCACACTGCAGATCACTCTCTCCCAGATCATCGACATGGTAACCACACCCTGATCCTGACCTTCAGCTTGTGTTTATTATTGGATGAACTGATGTGTATATCCTTTCTCCAGGATGAGCGTAACCAGATCCTGACAACATACCTGTGGGTCCGCCAGGTGTGGAATGACGCCTACCTCACGTGGAAGAAAGAGGACTATGATGGTCTCGACACTATCCGCATACCCAGCAGCTACGTATGGAGACCTGACATTGTTCTGTACAACAGGTTGGTACATCTGATCTGCCCGACTGCAGGACATCTGCAGGACAGAAGAATGACTAATAAGCACGATCTCATCCATTCAAGGTTTGGTAGTACCAGATGACATGTAACCAGAGAGCAACGAGTAATCAGCTCAGATCGAATCTGCAAAGAGCAATCAGATCCTAGTTACATTGCCAAGGACACTTGAAAAGATGTTGAACTACATATTTAATATATGCCAATTTAAACATTTGGATTAGTTTCAATTAATTATCATTTGTGGAAGGGGAAAATAAGACGAGTAGGGATTTGGGTAAACATGTATGTTATTATCAACTGATATATCAATAAAGGATCATTTTCGTTTTCTTTGACAAATATATTAACATGATCATGTTTTGAGGATATTTACCACATGTTTTGTTCTGGTCTGAGGACAGAGGGTCTAAGGACAGAGGGTCTAAGGACAGAGGGTCTGAGGACAGAGGGTCTAAGGACAGAGGGTCTAAGGACAGAGGGTCTAAGGACAGAGGGTCTGAGGACAGAGGGTCTAAGGACAGAGAGCCTAAGGACAGAGGGTCTGAGGACAGAGGGTCTAAGGACAGAGGGTCTGAGGACAGAGGGTCTAAGGACAGAGGGTCTAAGGACAGAGGGTCTAAGGACAGAGGGCCTAAGGACAGAGGGTCTAAGGACAGAGGGCCTAAGGACAGAGGGTCTAAGGACAGAGGGTCTAAGGACAGAGGGTTTAAGGACAGAGGGCCTAAGGACAGAGGGTCTAAGGACAGAGGGCCTAAGGACAGAGGGTCTAAGGACAGAGGGTCTAAGGATAGAGGGTCTAAGGACAGAGGGTCTAAGGACAGAGGGTCTAAGGATAGAGGGTCTGAGGACAGAGGGTCTGAGGACAGAGGGTCTAAGGACAGAGGTTCTGAGGATAGAGGTTCTGAGGACAGAGGGTCTAAGGACAGAGGGTCTGAGGACAGAGGGTCTGAGGACAGAGGGTCTAAGGACAGAGGTTCTGAGGATAGAGGGTCTGAGGACAGAGGGTCTAAGGACAGAGGGTCTAAGGACAGAGGGTCTGAGGACAGAGGGTCTAAGGACAGAGGTTCTGAGGATAGAGGGTCTGAGGACAGAGGGTCTAAGGACAGAGGGTCTAAGGACAGAGGGTGTCGTTTTTCTCATACTGATATTCTGAACAATCTGTGCTGTATTTGCTGTAAAGTGTCTCTACTGTAGGCTATTTGTATTATATGTTCAGCACTTTGGCTCCACCAAACATCGTTTATAAATGTGCTATATAAATAAAACTTGATTTGATTTGATTTAAATATTTTTCCGTAAGTCTGTAGAAAAGGCTCTGTAGCCGAGACATCTCTGCAACACCATGTGTTACAGAATGGTATTTCTCATTTACCAAATATTGTGCCTCTAGTGATTTGCATATTTTGGACAATGTTTTCAATGTTTTAAGAAATCCAAAAGTATTTAGATCGGATTAAACTATGTCTATCCAATTGGATTATTACTAATTAGAACATTTGCCATGTAATTTGTGTTAAGTAACTGACTAAGTAATCTGACCCCCTGTGGTCTCCTGTTCCTTCTCCCTGCCTTCACACCCTCCTCTTCCTCCATCACAGTGCAGACGACGAGTTTTCCAGCTCCATGGAGACCAACGTGGTGATTCGTCACGACGGGCAGATCATGTGGGACCAGCCAGCCATCACCAAAAGCTCCTGCTCCGTGGATGTGGCCTTCTTCCCCTTCGATCTGCAGCAGTGTCACCTAACCTTTGGGTCCTGGACTCACAACGGCAACCAGATGGACTTGTTCAATGCCTTAGACACTGCGGACCTGGCAGACTTCGTGCCCAATGTGGAGTGGGAGGTGAGTCACATTGTCAACAAGCTCAAATGAAGACCTCAGTCTGAAATTATTTCACAATATCAAATGATACTTTTCTCTCCAGGTCCTGGGCATGCCAGCCAAGAAGAATGTAATCTTGTACGGTTGCTGTTCTGATCCGTACCCAGACATCACCTTCAGCCTCCACCTGAAGAGACGGGCCTCCTTCTACATCTTCAACCTCCTCATCCCCTGCATGATGATTTCCTTCCTGGCGCCATTGGGCTTTTACCTGCCGGCAGATTCTGGTGAAAAAGTTTCTCTGGGTGTCACCGTGCTGCTGGCCCTCACCGTCTTTCAGTTGCTGGTGGCTGAGAGCATGCCACCCTCCGAGAGCGTCCCACTGATAGGTGAGAAAACTTAGAGTCCCTGATTTTTAAATGTTGTTATTTTTGTCAAGAATCGAATGCAATCTATTGGTTTTTGTAATCAATGATTTCCATATCAACTGTTAAGTAGTGTATTTATATAATAAGGACATCTTTCTGCCGCTTCAGAAACGGACCTTGAGACTGGGTTCTCATTAGAGAGCTTTTTGAAGATTACTGGCAATCATTCAGGTTTGACATTGGCAGAATGAGTAGAGGGCAGAAGGCAGTGGCCGACTCTGAGGCTGCCTGAGTGGGTAGTGTGGACAAATAAAAAGCGGAAGAGTTTTATGTGATTGTGTTTCAACAGGCAGAACGTTTTCTTGCATGTAGGGCAGCCTTCAAGGCACTGCCCCATAAGTCATTGCATCTTGTTTTCTCCTGGAAGAGCACCCTACAGGGTACTTCATTATATTTCCAATACTGTGACTGCTCAACTAGAGGGCACTGTATCCTGCTTTATCTTCCCTGAGTCCAGCTGGATACACAAACAAACAATATGAAACACAAAGTCATAGTTTTCATGTATTATCGATTGTTGGCAAATACTTAAAGCCGCCTGAAAATGGGCACATTTCTTTTTGAACCAGTCAACAAAGGCAGGCTAGAGGTCGTGTGCTTGCCTGATAGGCAAAGCCAGTATGCAGTGACAAAGTTGTCGTGTGATTATATCACAGAAACTGAGCGCTTGTGAGAGTGGATTCCTGCCTCCTGTCAAACAAGTACAACTGCTTCTGACCCTTCTACATGTCATTACAGCTTCAACTCTTCACATTACCATATACTGGTAGTAGGGTTGTTTTGGGCTTGATAGGGGGGTCCCTTATTGACCCTAACATAATATAAGTGATTGTGTATCTGCAACCGACCTGTCCCAAAATGGCATGTTCTATGGACTCTTGTAAGTTTTGAAAAGAACAAAAATCCATTGTGCACGTACGCAACTCCCACCGAAGGAATACTAACGGTGTGTCAACATGATAATGATCAAACCAGAAATGCAGTAAAAGGCCGGAGAGCTCCAGCAGGCAAAGCAGCACTGGAAAGGCCAGGGATTGAAGAAACACAGCAACAGCAAAGCTGCAGTCGTAATAATTAAACGTTGTCACTGAAGAAAGACTTAACTGAGTTCTTAAGGACCTTCTTAATATCACGGCAGCCTCTCGGCAAAGCACTGGTGAGCAGAGCTGGTGATACTTGCTGTAGCTACGAGAGTAGGATTTACACGTACTACTGTTTATTACTACTCATTCTGGAATATCCACGTGACTTTTAACGTAAATGCATTATAAAGAAAAGTGTTTAAATGGAATTACTAGATTGACTGAACTCACAAGTAAATTATTAATGAATATTATTTTTGTTTTTTTCACACTTGACTTTAGTGAGTGTGTAGATATGGCCGGCAGCGCAGGTCCAATGAAGGAAGATCAGTGTTTGTGCCCCATCTGTCTGGATGTGTTCACTGAACCAGTTGCCACACCATGTGGACACAACTTCTGCAAGACCCGCATCTCTAAGAACTGGGATATTAAAGTCCCTGCCCAGTAAGACCTAAGCTCAGAGTCAACACATTGATCTCTCAGATGGCTGATCAGATAAGACAGACGGCTCAACAGAAAGCCAGCTGCAGCAACTCAGAGCCTCAACTGCCCAGATCAGAAGACTTTGATGTCTGCACTGGAACCAAACTGAAGGCCCTGAAGTCCTGCCTGGTGTGTTTTACCTCCTGCTGTGAGACTCACCTGGAGCCTCACGTGACAACACCATGCCTGAAAAAACATCAGCTAATCAATCCTGTGGAGGACCTGGAAGCCAGGATGAGCATGATGCACGATAAACCTCTGGAGCTGTTCTGCAAGAGTGACCAGACATGTGTCTGCATGCTTTTAGACCACAAGACACATTGTATTGTTCCTCTGAAAGGAGGATATGAAGAAAGAAAGGCACGACTTGGGAAGATAGAGGATGAAATGCACCAAGTGATTCAGGAGAGACAGCTGAAGGTAGAGAATACCACACGTACAGTTGAGCTCAGAAATACAGTGGCAGGTAGAGAGATAGCAGACAGTGTTCGGGTCTGCACCCTCTGAAGGAGTTGGTTGAGAGCAGCTGAGCTCATTGAGACAATCGAAGCAAAGCAGAGGCCGACACAGAAACAGGCTGGAGCAGCTGTCAAACTCCGAAGACCACCTCCACCTCATTGAAACCTTCCCGTCCCTGAAAGTCGCTCCCCCCACCAAGAACTGGACAGGGGTCCGTCTTCCATCATATGAGGGGACGGTGGCGAGAGCTGTGGATGAGCTGGAGGAGACCCTCAGTAAAGAGATGAGGAAGGTCTATGAGGCGGAGCTTGAGAGGGTGCAGCAGTTCGCAGCGGATGTGACACTTGATCCCCGTACAGCAAATCCCTGGCTCGTCCTGTCTGAGGAGGGAAAACAATCCAACTTGGGGAGGTGTATAAGGATCTCCCTGACATCCCTGAAAGGTTCTCTTTGTATGCAAGTGTTTTAGCAAAGCAGAGTTTCGCTTCAGGAAGGTTTTACTATGAGGTTCAAGTCACAGGGAAGACTACGTGGGACATAGGAGTGGCCAGAGAGTCCGTTACCAGGAAACGACAGAAGAACGGTTACTGGACGGTGTCTTTGAGGAGCGAGAATGAGTACAAGCCTCTTGATGACGAGCGTGTCACTCTCTCTCTGAGGTCAAAGCCTGAAAAGGTGGGGGTGTTTGTGGATTATGAGGAGGGTCTCCTTCTACGACGTTGATACTGCATCTACTCCTTTAGCGGCTGCTCCTTCACTGAGAAACTCCCATTCTTCAACCCCTGTAGCCTTTATGTCCTGATGATGGTGGTGAAAGCGCTGCCCCTGTGATCCTCCGCCCTCCACCTACAGTCCAGCTTAACTTGATGCTACTCAAGAATGAGAACTAATCTGTGATGAGCAACACCTCACAGCCTGTAACTCAGACACATCGTTCACTGCTGCTGTTATCTTAAAAGGATGCACTGTATCTTCTCTGTGTCGTGGCCAATAGCAGCAGGTGGTGCATGATCAGAAATACACTGTTATACACTGAAGAAGAAAGAGCAGGTGCACCATCAAGATGTGAAACGAAAACCTCTCATCATTTTCAATCTTCTTGATATTTGTCATGGTGTTTGCACTTGGGTTATTTATGCATACATTAGAAATGTGCATCGAAACAGAACTCATTACATGTGTTGCAATGTTATAGATGACCTACACATACAGTGGTATTTTATCATTTATCATCGTTCCTTTAAGATTTGGGTAATTTTGGTAAAACACAAACTGGTGCAATTAGAAATAAGCATTTGCAAGTTTTAAATGGTTGTTTTATTTATACATCGTTGTGCAGTTCCTGTATTCATGGTGTCATGGCCTGGCTCTGGGTCGTAACACAAGAACAGGTCCTCACACACACACACACACACACACACACACACACACACACACACACACACACACACACACACACACACACACACACACACACACACACACACACACACACACACACACGCTTGGTGCTCTCTTCCCGTAAAACGATGTTACAGTTGGTGCAGTCTTCCTCGTGTTTAACCATGTTGTATCTCTGCATCTTCTACCTTCCCTCTCTCACCATAAGAGAGTCCAACCCAGTCTCACGGCATTTCGTGTTATAGTCACGACATGTAATCTATTGATTCGTGTTCACCATCACGATTTCCCCCTTTGTTTCGTGTCACACAGAACGATTTTAAAAGCAACGTATTTCTATTGGTAGTGCGTTTCGTGCCTGCGTCTTTTTGTCCGGTCGGGTCGTGGAACACCGGAAGCTGTGTGGTTCATAAAAACATGTTCTGACTCAATATCAAGCCACCATTATTGCTTTTATTTTAAATCGTATAATGACTTTTGTTTCCGTCTGCGAGGAACAGAAATGGCTCAGAGATTCAGATCAGATGTAATCGTAAAAAACAATTAAAAATGAATGTTAAATATGATGAGATAGTTTATTGCTGAGAGGGGGAACATCAAGCTCATCTGTAATTGTTTGGTCTGTGCTCTCTTTTGTTTCCTAACATATAAACTGAGCAGGCAGTACAAAGTTTGGAGTACAGTTTGAAGCCCGGCAGCGAACACCCTCTTTCTGTGAGGCCTGCCAGGGGCTATTTTAAAATACAACAATCACCGCGGTGGAATCAATGCGTCCCAATGATGCCAACAGCAGTTCATTACATCTGCACATTTCAGCAGAGCACTTTCTGTACAGCCTGTTTCCATCTCACTGAAGTACAACGAGTACAAGTCCTAAATAATTGAACTGCGTACGAAGCCAGAATGCGTGCTACTTCTACAAATCCCTATAAGCTCATCTAGTTTTTAAAAAAGTACATATTTATCCAGTTTCTCAAGGTTGACATTTCTTAGTCGACGAAGATGTAACTTTTCAATTAATATAAGTTGATATAATGAACGGATCTTAAACATTTTGAGATGTGTCTTTGAGCACCTGTAAAAGCGCTAACAAATTAAATCTATTATTATTATTATCATGTGCCGAGAAGAAAATAACTCATTCAGCATAAAAAGAGTACTAGAAAATCACTTGGCAACTAAACATCTTAGTCGACTTCAGCAAAAAGACCGATTAACGGACAATGATTCGGGAAACTTGTGTTTATAATGTGAAAAAAAAGTTGATTTAAACCTAAACTAACAGAACATGTAAAGAGAGTGGAGAGAAGTGAGTTTAAAAAGAGTTTTTAAAGTCTTCAGATGGAAGTCGTGAGATCCAGAGATTGAGTGCAGCCATGTGTTTGGCATTCAATGTTTTGTAGGTGTTCAACCTGAAGGCCCCTTTAAAAACTGATCCATCATTTTGTGTTATTGTTTTCGACAGCATTATTTGAAAAACTAAAACGAGTCAAGAAAACCACAGCGTTAGCCTGGGTCAAAGTATCTCTTCTTGCAAACATAAAGATTTTCTTTAATCTCCAATCTCTTTTTGTTGACAGGAAAGTATTACATCGCCACCATGACCATGGTCACTGCCTCCACAGCACTCACCATCTTCATCATGAACATCCACCACTGCGGCCCCGAGGCTCGTCCCGTCCCGCAGTGGGCCGAGCGCTTCATCCTAAACTACCTCGCCCGCATCTGTTTCGTATACGAGGTCGGTGAGAACTGCCTCGGCGGGGCGACCTCCAGCAAGGAGCCTCTGTCTGAGGAGGGGTCTGAAGCTGGAGCAGCAAACAACAGCAACCCAAAAGGAACACACTGGGACGGGAAGGGGCAAGTGTGGGCCGGGAGGGTGGAGGAGGACGGGGCGGGGGGATCAATGAAGCCGGGGCGGGACTCAAGCAACCAGACTGAGTGGACGGAGGACATGTTTGTGACCATCGACCACTCCGAGGAGGAAGGAGCTGCAGGAGGAACTGACGGGGAGCGAGAGGACTCAGCCTGTGGAGGAGGAGGTGAGCATGTGGAGGAAAAGAAAGGCGTAGGAGGTGAAGAGGCCGGCGGAGGCAGCGCCGGGGAAAACAGGAGGGAGATCTTTGTGAACACCGTGTGTGTGTGCCAGCACCAGGGACTCCGCAAACATGTTGAGTACATTGCCAACTCGTACCAGGACCAGCGGGCCGCACAGCTGCGCATCGGGGAGTGGAGGAAGGTCGCCAAGGTCATGGACCGCTTCTTCATGTGGCTCTTCTTCATTATGGTCTTCTTCATGAGCATCCTAATCCTGGGAAAAGCCATCTGATGGAAATCCAACCTCAGAGATTCCCATGAGATGATAATGGTGGTTTCGAGTTGGCACCCCGATGCAATGGTTCGTTTATAATGTCTTAAATCATACGTACCTTCAAACACGTGATCAAGGTTATCTTACACTGATCGTTGTGATCCATTAATGACGCACATCAACTGCTCAGAAATACAGCCATTATGTCCCTTTGCTCCTGATATCAGAACATCCCATGCTCTTTGGAGTACTTTTAATATCTGGTGACATTTCAAACTAAGTTCCAGCTGGCGCACTTGAAGCTGATTTTAGCACGTTTCACTTGTTTGGAGGAAAACTTGATTTTAAGTATAAATATCATCATGAAATGTTCTTAAGAGACGAAGGCAACATTATACACACACACACACACACACACACACACACACCACACACACACACACACACACACACACACACACACACACACACACACACCACACACACACACACACACACACACACACACACACACACACACACACACACACACACACACACACACACACACACACACACTATCACGTTAAAGTATGCCACACTTTTTATATCAAGACCTTCTGAGTGTTTCTTAAACTTAAATGCATGCAGGATTGTTTTTAAGTCATCACGTTGAAATGTGGGGTATTTGGGACAAGAAGTATTTTTTCATTTAGTCTATGTATCTTTTATTAAAGCATAAAGAATATTAACATCTTTCCCCTTCATCTCGTTAAACTACTGAAGCTCAGATTACCTGAGGTTTTGAATGATCAGAATTGGCATCAATCAACTAACTGTTGCTCTCAAACAAATGAAGAATACATTAGTTGTAAAATAGCAGATGTTGGACCCGGCCTGAGTTTTGCTAAATCAAATATAGATCTGTTGGTATTTGGGCCACAGACGGCTCACAGTTGGTCCTCCGGGCGGAAACCTGGAGAATGCTTTATTAAAACAAATCCTTTCTTCTAATAAAATGATAACACACTGCAATTATAAAAGGTTCACAGCGGACCGATGACTGAGGGTGTTGAATAATGATTCAGAGATAATCCTGCATAATGAAGCCCTCACATTGTGAGTGTTGGAGAGTTACTCGTGCCATGTATCTGCACATAGACAACGAGTGGTAATCAATGTGGTTTTCTCACGAAGGCACATATTTATTCACTGCAAGAAATGACCTTAACAAGTATTATCACCATGTGTTCAGAAGTCTTTATTTATTCAAATTAATCAAATATAATGATGCTTTAAGTTGTTGGGAGATTGGCTGCGAGTTCACCCAATTTTACAAGATTAAAATGCTATGATACTTTGTCGTTTTAAAAGCAGTAAATAGCTTTGAAAGATAAACCCTTTTACTCATCATGTCCCGATCAGCACACATCTTGGTCACAATGATTCCCTGAACAAATGTTAGATTGAATTAAAATGTGTACGCTTCTTCCAAAATAAAAAAGGGTACTCGACCTTGACCTTCATGATGTTAACACAACAACATGCCAAACTTCTTCAATATGTCTTGTTTGTGGTGTTTGTCAACAGACATATTTACACATGACACACAGTTGATTAAAGATTTCTTATTAAAAATGCTTTGTTTACTGATTTTTTTTGACTTTCCTCAGAATATACCCACTGCTAATAAAAAGTCTGCAATGTATGTCAAAAGAATGGGCTAATAACGAGGTAGACAGGATCCTCATCATTGACTGCAAATGCAGACATATAACCAACTCCTCAAAGTCCCCAGCAGTGCTCGTACCCTGCAGGCGCAACACGGCAGCAGCAGATGGAGCTAAAAGGTCTACAATAAATGTTAAACTCCAGCCTGCCCAAAACATACTTTCATACAATTCTCCTTAAGTCCTGAACATGTATACTGAATGTCATTGTGCATTTATTTAGTCAATGACACAAAGAAAACCCCATTATCAAACCTTCCTGTTAATGTATCATTTGATTTATTAAGTCATCAAATATTAGGATACCTGGGAGGTCATTTTTTTATATGAACTACTGTGGAGTAGAGCAGGGCTTCCCAAACGTTTGCCATGCCAAGGACCCCATATAGCATGATCGTCTGGCGGGGACCCCCCTGTTGCATTTTATTGTTAAATGATGAGTACATTATGATGGAGAATATGACTAATTAATCATACAGCTTAATACATTTTCTTAATATATATTTGTATTAATAATTAATAATCAGTTATTCTTCAAAATGTTTTTGTATTTATCTTTTGTTTGTCATTCATTGTGTCTTCTGTTATAAACATTCTTAACACAATATTAAACAGTCATATCAACAGGAAACATATTTTTAAAGCATTTTTAAAGTGATTTCTGTCTTTATAATATTATATAATTTTTAACAGTAATATGAACAATTAACATATATTTTTAGCATTTTTGAAAGCTACTTATGCCTTAATACTATTATATATAATATTCAACAGTAATATTAACAATAGACATATTTATATTCATATATATAAACATCAATATTTGCTGCATCCGTGCTCTCATCCGGCTGCAGAGCGAAACATTCACTCGCTCTCACTTGCTCCAAAAGCTGAGCAGATACTCAGTTTCACTCTCAGCAGCGGCAGCTCGATTCTGATTGGCTTGAAGGGCGGTCGTGTGATTTAAAAAAAAATATATATATTAATAAATAAAAAATATTAAAAGATTGTCATCAAAGGACACAAAGACTGATAGATATGCAGTTATTAATAACATCTACAAAAAAAAAAATGTAACTTTAAAAAAAAGAAAATTCCCCTCAAACTTTGCATGACCCCCCCTGGCGGCCCCTGGCGGCCCCCGGGGGGTCGGGGCCCCTACTTTGAAAAACACTAGAGTAGACTATCTATGAGTCTGTGGGGGCTGCGGCTGCTGACAGGAAGCGCCTGAACAGACTGGTTAAGAAGGCCAGCTCTGTCCTGGGGGGTCCTCTGGAGGTGGTGGGAGACAGGAGAATAGCAGCCAAGCTGTCCTCCCTGCTGGACAACGTGTCCCAACCATAGACTGTAGTCCCAACCCCCCCAGGACACCCTGTCCTCACTGTGCAGCTCCTTCAGTGACAGGCCGGTGTCTCACGGATAGATACCACAGGCTGTATAACCCCCCCCCCCCCCACACACACAACAACAACGACTAAAACACTCCTGTTGTGCAATATATATATACTGTATATATTTATACCATAAATAACTGTGCAATATACTGTATACTTCCACCTTTAATACTTTCAACTGGCTGCTCTACCATCAAAACTGTTACTGGTACTGGATGTGTATTAAGTGCATTTTAAATTGCGTAGTCTACTTATATTTTTAATATTTGATGCATGCTTGCTAATTAATACTAAGCTATTTTTGGCTTTTTACTTGCTGTAACAAATGTACATTTCCCCTCATTCAAATATCATTGCAGCTAGTTCATAATAGCTCTTATAGTGAATATTGTTCTTTACACGGTCTCATGGCTGGCTGCTGCAGAGCGGGCTGACAGAGGGCCTTTGCTGCAGCTGTGATTACGGCAGTGACACAGACACTAACTGCAGGCGAGGGGTTGCATGGTTGGCTTGGTTCAGCTGTGCACTCAAGAATACTGGTGAAACATCTGTCATACATTAAGGATGCTTTCTTGGCTCATGTCCACAATCTCTACAAAAAGAGTCATCCTAGTGAACACAGTACCCTTACACTCCCAACCTGGGGGCCAACGTAAGGGTCTCATACATCTCAAGGGGGACACAGGGGCTTATTGATTTCATGTGATTGAATATAGCTTTCTTTAATATATAATGTTGGCTTGGAATCTGGAGCTTTATATTTCCAGCACCTTCCCTCTTTGCTCAACAGCATCGTCCTGCTGGAAGACATCGACAGGACAATGGGCGAGCATCAGAGAGAAGACAGAACACAATATGTCAGAGAAGAAGCCTTTTGAGTAAACGTAATCTTCTCTCTTTTACCCACAGTTATTTACTATTTGGGTTTATTGTACAGTTCTTGACCAATAAAAGATAATGATACACCCTATTGTCCAACAGCAACACATGTTGGATGTGTGGTGAATATCGAGAGTTTTGTACTGTAGAACTTTGTTGAGAACTTTGTTGTGAACTTTGTTGTGAACAGTAAATCAAAAACTTGAAACTGTTGCATGTTTGGCGCTCTGGGGAGGACACTGCCCCCTAATGGTCTGGTTTCATCACTGTTGCCACAGCAGCCAGTAATGAGCGTTAATGTTTCTGACACAATCTTTAATGAGGTCCGCTGTGAGCTGCTTCCAAACAAACACTTATCAACAGTTCCTGATGGTAATTAGCCCGGTGGGAGCAAAGAGAGAGGCCCAGTAATAGATGCAGAGACGCTAATGACAGCTCCTGGGATCAGCAGGGACTCACTGCATGATGAAACTTTGGCAGCTGATTCTTCAACAAAGTATGCTTCCACACTCCACAGCAAGACAATACAGACATTTAGGGATTTTGATGAAACTTGACATTCGTTGTCATAAACAAGCATTTGAATATGAGAACTTCCCGTGATCTAATACACAATCCTTATAAAACTTCAATGAGCATATCGCCCCGTTTGTCTTCAATCATTCCATGATTTTTATATTTACAGATTGATATATAGTCCTCCCGTCAAGGATGTCAGCCAAGTCGCTAAATTGTTATAATGACTTCAAACAGTTTGTGGAGGACTTCCTCCTGAAACCATTAACATCAAACATAGATAAAGTAATGGTTTTCCCAGTTTCCATCCGTCCGTCTTCTCCCGCTTATCCGTGGTCGGGTCGCGGGGGTAGCAGTTCCAGCAGAGAGCCCCAAACCTTCTTTTCCCCGGCCACACGTTTTCCCAGTTTCGTGATAAATGAACAGAACTCCGCATCAAACAAGTTTGAACTGCAAAACCGACTGAGCGCTGCGTCAGACAAGGCGCTCCATCTTTATGAAAGCCTTTCCAGACACTTCTAAAGATTCAGAGAAACTAAGGATGACCGAATGGAAAGAGGAAGCAGAGAGAGAAGTATGAAAGACAGAAGGCCAGTCTAAAGGCTGAGTTCCTCTAGAGGCTTCCTGTCCGTCGGCCCCTGAACGCCTCACTGCAGCTTTTAATTCAATTAACCTGCCGGTCACTGAGACGTCAGGGAGCTCTGAGGCCTCCAGGACACTCAGCCCATTAAGCCCACACACACACACACACACACACACACACACACACACACACACACACACACACACACACACACACACACACACACACACACACACACACACACACACACACACACACACACACACACACACACACACACACACACACACACAATACACACACACACACACACACACACACAAACACACACACACACACACACACACACACACACACAAACACACACACACACACACACACACAACCACACGCACGCACGCACGCACACACCCACACACACACACACACACACACACACACACACACACACACACACACACACACACACGCACACACACACACACACACACACACACACACACACTCACGCACGCTACGCACACACACACCACACACGCACACACACACACGCACACACACACACACACACACACACACACACACACACTACCGCACGCACCGCACGCACCACACACCCACTCCACACACAACACACACCACAACACACACACACACACACACACGCACGACACACACACACGTCACACACATCACACACATCACACACAACACACACATCACACACACACACACCACACACGCACACACACACACACAACACACACAACACACACCACTACAACACCACACACACACACACACACACACACACACACACACACACACACACACACACACACACACACACCACACACGCACCACACACACACACACACACACACACACCACACACACACACACACACACACACACACACACACACACACACACACACACACACACAACACACACACACACACACCCACACGCACACACACACACGACCAAGACCAATATAGTTTGACAATGTGCTTACTGGACTCCGTGTGTTATTTTAAAACACGGGGAAACATATATCTGACATCATAATGGTTGCAGTGATTCATCTACAGAACGAGGGAGCGGAATAACGTGACGGTCTCTTTTCATGTAAACACAAACATAGAAACTCAAAAGCTTCAGAACTTTAGGTCTTAACATATTTACAGTTTGTGAAGACGAAACTGCAAAAACGTGCTAATCTGAAAGCACCGTTACAATGCTAGAGTCTAGAGTATCCAAAATCAAACGGTGTTATCTGGTAATTGTACCGCAAGCGGACAATTGTATAAAAGTTGTTGTTTTTTTGCTTTGTTTTTTCTTTGTATTGTTTCTGTTCTGATTTTATGTAAAGCATCTTCAAGCATTATATGAATCCCATGGATTATTATTATTAATGTTCTACAAATGGCTCTTTTATCCTGATGGGAACGTGAATGTTCATAGCAAATTGTGTGGGGGGTTGGTGCCTTGCTCTAGGGCACCTCGATAGGGCACAGGAGGTGAATTGGCACCTC